ATTTCACCAAAGAACATTGTGACTTGTTAGAGGATCTGTAGGCTGATTTGTGTGATCATATGCGTGTGGTGGTGGTGCTGAGTTTGGAAAGATGCCTGCAGGAGGCAGCAGGAGCTAGAGCACTAAGGGCCTTGAGTGCTGGCTTAAGGGATTTGAAATTCCTCCTGAGAATTGCAGGGGGCCACTGAAACACTGAAGCAAGGCCTTACACCATTTTCTTTTTACAGCCTCATTTTCATGACTGATGTGTCAAGAATGGTGACAGGACAAGAGACACAGGGAAGCCCTTTGGATAGGAGGTTGTTACAGAAATCCAGGTTGGAGGTGATGGAGCCTGAACCTGGCCAGTGTTTATGAGGATGGTAGGGACAGATTCAAGAGACAGTAAAGTGGATGGAGAAGGGAGAATTGGAGGAAGGTGATTAAAAGGTACAAACTTCCAGTTATTAGATAAATAAGTACTAGGGATAGAATGCACAACGTGATGACTATAGTTAACACTGCTGTATAATATTATAGGAAAGTTGTTAAGAGTAAGATTCTTATCACAAGGAGAAATTCTTTTTATTGTTTTTATTGTATCTATATGAGTATATGGATGTTAACTAAATGTATTGTGGTAATAATTTAACAGTATATGTAAGTCAAACCATCATTTTGTATACCTTAAATTTATACAGTAGTATATGTCAATTACTTCTCAATAAACAGGGAAAAAAGATAGTAAAGAAAGGGATCAGGACTTGGAAAGAATGGTTTCATTATTCTTTGATTCATCCATTCAATAAATTTCTGGTGAGAGTTCACCATGTCTCAGGCAGTTCTAAACACAGGGCACAAACCCATAGGTATTACAGGCATGGTATCTGCCCTCCTGAAGCGAGATGAGAGAGATAATAGGCAAATAAATGAACATGACGATAATATCATGTGTTAAGTTCTTTAAGGGAAATAAACAGAGCAATGCATTAGTAACTGGGTAGCCCATTTGGGATATGGTGTGTATGGTGGGAGGAAGCCTCTACATAGTGGATATTTCAGTTGAGACCTGAAAGATGAGAAAGAGACAGCTACAAAAAGAGATGAGATGGGAAAAGGAAGATATTTCATGCAGAGGAAAGAGCAGGTGCAAAGACCCTGTTATGGGAAAGGGCTTTGTGTGTTCAAGGAAGACCAGGGAGGCCAGAGTGAAGGGAGAAAGAGGTAGATTTGAGGTCACAGTGGAATGAAGGCAGCTGGCCTCAGGCTATGGTAAGGACTGTATTTTATTCTAAGAGGAATAGCCTAGGAAGGCTTTTAATGGATGAGTGATTTTTACTAGAACAGTAGCAAAGTCTGATTTATATGCTTGAAGAGAACCAACCTGGTGCTGTCTGGAGAAAGGATTGTAGGGGAACCAGAATTCAGTGAGATTTGGACATTTCTGCTATAATCCAGGGGAGAGATGACAGGCTACCAGCTCTAGGGTGTGGGATGGGGATGCATGGAAGTGAATAGATTCAAACATTTTACAGACAGAAACAATAGGTTTCGATGGTGGATCGGATGTTGTAAGTGAGTTAAGGATATGGCATAGGTTTTTAACTTGAGCCAAAAACGGTGGTGCCATTTACTGATATAATGAAGACAGGAGGATGATAACAGGTTTATATGGTACTGAATAAGGAGATTAAAAGCTCTGCTTTGGAAAAAGTGAGTTTGATGCATCTGTTAGGCATCTGTGTGGAGCTATCAGGAAGACAAATGGAGATAGTCTGGAGTTCAGGGGAGAAGGGCAGACTGGAGATATAACATTGGTAATCAGCATGTAGCTGATCATTAAGCCATCGGATTGGAAAAGATAGAAAAGGAAAAAAAAGTCCTTCCACATTGAGAGGTCTAGCTGAAGAAATGGGGTTAACAAAGACCTACAAGGTGCAGCCAATACTTAGGAAGAAATGAGGGGAGTGTCTTGTGGAAGTCAAGAGAATTTCAAGGGGGGAGGAACACCTGTACCAGAGGTTCAATAAAATGAGTGTCTGCTACCCAGTGATCAATCAGTGAGAGGTGAAGTCCTGCTCTGAAAGCTGGACGATCGCGAAGCATCCTTTCAGTTACTCTACAAGACTGTCCTTGTAAAGTTTAGATTGTAAAGGCGGAAGAAACTTGGAGAGAAAGAACCGTAAAGTGGAGGAGAGGGGGTCTTTTAAGCACCAAATGAAATAATGCCGAAACGCATTTTGTAAACCGCCCAGTCCTGTGCTAATGCCATTGTTACTTTTTATTGAGCCAGAGATTGGACTGAGACCACCGGTGAGAGACAAGAGATGAGACGTAAGGAAAGAGTTCTTGAGGAGGAAATTTCATACAGAAGAAAACCCATTCCTCCCGAGCGCTTCCCTCAAAAGCAGGCTTCGGGTTAGAAGAGGAGATCCGGGAGCAGTGTAGCGCTACCCTCGCAATTGACTCCGCGGAAGTAACAGCGAACACAGAACCCAGAGGATGCTAACAGTAGCCACAGCAGACGGGGAGGAAGTCCGACCCTAAGAGCGAGAAGTTCCTCTGGCTCCGCCTCCCTCCTCCACTGGCCTATCGGGATCCAGTTGACGGACGGCGGCCCTGGGGAGGGGAGGAGGGCGGAGCCTGAGGACCTGCAGACTACCACAAGGCGGCGTCTACTTAATCATTCGATTCCTTTCCCTGCAAGGGCTCGCTGCTCTTAGAAAAGCTTGTCTAGGCATACAGCCACTTTGGAAAAAGCTCCGACAGTTTCGTATGAAACTAAATATATACCTATTCTATGACCCAGCAATTTATCACCTAGGCACTTACTCAAAAGAAAGTAAAACATACGTCCACAGAAAGCTTAGCTATCTATCACCGGAAAAATGGATATAGTATATTCTACAATGGAATATTACTCAGCAATATAAAGGAACCAAGTAATGGTACACGCAGCAACATGGTAAACAAACTAAACTAATCTATGGTGAGGTTGTCTGACTATTTGGAGTGGATATTGGGGAAGAGATATGGGGAAACTTTCTAGGTGATGGGAATGTTCTTAGAACTTTGCCCAGTGAAGGAAATATCCTTTTATCTGTGTTGTCCAATATGGTAGCAAGTAGCTTTGTGGTAGACTGTATCTTCTCTGACTATCCTGCCTCCTTCTTTCCCTTATAAAAACTTTATGATTTCCATTGGGTCCACCCAGACAATCCAGTATAATCTCCCTCAAGATCTTTAATTTATTACATCTTCAAAGTCCCTCTTGCCGTGTAAGGTACCATATTCACATATGACTATTGAGCATTTGAAGTGTGGCCAGTGTGACTGAAAAAAATGAATTTTTAATTTCATTTAATTTTAATTAGGTTAAAATTATGTAGCTAGACAACATAGTTTTATATCCTGATCAGGGTCTGTGCTGCACAGATATGTGTATTTGTCAAAACTCTCACCATAAGCTTAATATTCGTGCCTTTCACTGTATACAAAGCTTGTATTTAAAAAGAAGCATAAACTCTGATCAAGGATATATATGTTGAAGTGTTTAGATATGAAATGTACAGTTGTCCACAACTCTGAAATGCTCTACAAAAAGATGTATTGATGAATGAAGGGGACGATTTATGACTAGACATGTGATAAAACAAAAATATTAATTGTAGAATCTTGGTAGTGGATATATGGGTGTCTATTGAAAATTATTTCAACTTATCTGTATATACTGGAATATTTTCAGAATAAAATGTTGGGGATACCAAGGGCTGAGAGGAGAGAGGAATAGGAAGTTACTGTCTAATGGGTACAAAGTTTCTGTGAGTTGATGAAAATTTTCTGGAAATAGTGGTGATAGTTATACAACATTGAATGTACTTAATGGCAATGAATCATACACTTAAAATAGTTTAAATGTTAAAGTCTATTTTATGTATATTTTACAATTAAAAAAAATTGGAAGCCAAAAGAAAAAAAATGTTGGGGGAAAAAAATCTATGTAGAAGTCTTGGGTACTGCCAAGAGAGAAAGGGGAAGGGGAGCAAGCTGTCAGTGCACCGGGCCCATTTTGAGCAAGGGTAATGGGAAGAGAGAAAGCAGGCTTCAGACACAGTCTTGGGTTCACAATCCCAGCTCTTTCACTTTCTTGCTGTATGACTGTATTTGTTTCCTATTGCTAGCGATATAACAAATTAGGTCAAATTTATTATCTTACAGTTCTGGAGGTGTGAAATGTGTCTCACTGGGCTAAAATTAAGAACTGCATTCCTTCTGGAAACTCTAGTAAGAGGAGCCCACCTCCTTGTCTTTTCCCGCTTCTAGAAGCCTCCTGTATTCTGTGTTTCCGCTTGTGGCCCTTTCTTCCAACTTCAGAGCCAGCAAGTAACATCTTCAGATCTGTCTGTCTCTCTCTCTTTCCCTCTCACACACACTCTTCTGCTTCTTCATCATATCTTCTCTGACTATCCTGCCTCCTTCTTTCCCTTATAAGAATTTTGTGATTTCCATTGGGTCCACCCAGACAATCCAGGATAATCTCCCTTAAGATCCTTAATTTATTACATCTGCAAAGTCCCTCTTGCTGTGTACGGTAACATATTCACAAGTTCTGGGAATTAAGACATGGACATCTTTGGGGGGCCATTACCCTGCCTACCACAGCGATGCTGATAATATTCCTATGCCACTGGCGCTCATATATCAAGACAACAATGAAGAGGAAAAATATTTCTCATGATTTCTGCCTCAATTTTATTGATATAATTCACATACCAAACAATTGCCCATTTCAAACAATGGTTTTTTGTATAGTCACAGAGTTGTACAACCATCACATTTTCATCTTTCTCCATTTTTACATTTGAGGAAACAAGTTTGAGCCATTAAGGAAGCTTGCTTAGAGAAACACGAACCAGCAGGGCTGGGGAACTGCAGCGGTTGTCAGGGGCTGAGATTCCAGTCCAGGCCCAGACCCCCTTCAAGAAGTTAGACCAGTCACCTGGGAGCTGTGTGGTGTGGTAGGTAAACAAGCAGGCACTTACTGCCAGGATAGACTTGGGTTCAAGGCTTTGTTCTGGTATCTAGAAGCTCTGTGACCTTTGGTAAAACCTCTTGGAGGCTTGGTTTTCTCATTTGAAAAATGAGGGCAATTCAATAAATGAGGGGGCTGACTCACTTGTAAGATCCCTTTCCAGCTATGTAATTCCGAACTTCACTGAGGGGGGAAATAATCAAAAACAAATTCCCCGAGCATCCAGTGCAACCAGAGAGATAATGAATTCCCTAAAGACAGGCCCACATATTTCCCTCGTACTCTTGGAGCGGCTGGCACAGGCCTTTTGAGTTCTCACTGACGGGCCTCCGCTGGTGGAAAGACAAATGCCTAAGATGATCCTTGGAAAGGCAGAGAAGGGTGGGAAGAGTCGGGGTACGGCGCATAGGGGGCGTCCGGCCTTCGGGTGGTCCGCCCAGGAATGGGCAATGATCCTGTAACTGTAAACACGGGTGGGAGGGATCAGAGGCGACTCTTCCTTAAGGCCAAGTTCAGCCGCTGTGTGAGGGCTAGACAGGAGGAGTGTGTTGGTGGGATAGTTCTAAAAATAAGTTTTCAAAGCTGCGTTGGATGACACTACACGAGGCGTGGCCCGGCTGCAGCCCCCGACCCCCCGCCCCGCTCTACTCCCACCTGTCCACGCGATTTGGTATGCTCGGCCACGGCGCTAAGCCCCCCTCCTCGGTCGTACGATTGGTACACCCAGGCTCTGGGCGTTGCAACTCCACGAAAGACACGCCCCCGTCACGCCTCTATTTCTGATTGGCTGGAGAATTTAACGATCCGGCCGGTGACTGGGTGATTCTCCACTCCTAGTATTTGAAAGTTCTTAGTGCCCAAATTTCCCAATCCAGCCAGAGCTGCACAGCTTGTTCTTCCGAGAGCCGCTGCAGGTGAGTGTCCATCTGATTGATCCCAGAGGTGGGAGGCCGAGAGTCTGCTTCTTCAAGGAGTCCCTGCCAGGAAGGTGCAAGCGAATGAGTCAGACGGAGGGAGCAGGGATTCCCTGATTTCCCCAGCCAAATGTTCTCTACCCGATCTCCACTTTGGAGATGGGAAGCGCCAGGGCTGCAGAATCACCCTAGTCCTGACTCCTACCATCCGTTGTGGCCTCTCCCTGTCTGTTTCCACTTACCTGCACGGGGAATGCTGGTGAGACCTGCCTGGCTGCATATAAACCAGTGAAAGTACCTGGAAGACAGAAGGCCCTCATCTCTCCACGTGGGATTCCTCCACTTCCTGGGGAGAGGGCTCAGGATTTGCATGCCACCCTGGATCTCTTGGAAGCAGGCTTATTTTCTTTTCAGGGCCCTCTTTCTTCTGCTGCCCTGGTCAGACAGCCGCGGCTCCCCAGTCCTGGGAGCATTTGATACTGCCCATCCATCTGCCCCTCTGGAAATTGTGTAGGAGCGTGATTTCCAAGTGAATTTCCGGTGGGTCCCAGGGCCCTTTAACCATCTCCTTGACCTCTTGTGTTACCAGTGACAGCCTCCGTGCTCCTGTGTGGCCTTGACCCGGCTCCGCGGTCATGGCCTCTCTGCCACTTACTATGTCCCCTGAGCCCATGACCCCTGTGCTCCGGTCCTTTTGCAGACCTGCGGAGGCAGTGGCGATGTTGTCAGACACTCAGGCAGCGCCAGCGGAATCCGAGGACGCGGAACTGCGGTGTCGCGTGGCAGTGGAGGAGTTGAGCCCGGGCGGGCAGCCGCGAAGGCGCCAGGCCCTACGCACAGCTGAGCTAAGCCTGGGTCGTAACGAGCGCCGCGAATTGGTGCTGCGGCTGCAGGCTCCGGGGTCCGCGGGGCGGCCGCGCTGCTTCCCCCTGCGCGCGGCGCGCCTCTTCACGCGCTTCGCCGCTACCGGGCGGAGCACACTGCGGCTCCCCGCCGACGGCGAACCCCGCGCGGGCGCCGTGCAGCTGCTGCTCTCCGACTGTCCCGCGGACCGCCTGCGCCGCTTCCTGCGCACGCTGCGCCTCAAGCTGGCGGTGGCCCCAGGTCCCGGCCCTGCCTCTGCCCGCACGCAACTGCTTGCTCCTCGGCCCCGCGACTTCGTCACCATCAGCCCCGTGCAGCCCGAGGAGCTGCGGCGCGCGGCGGCCATCCGGGCTCCGGACACTTCACCAGTGAAGCGGCCCATGGAGTTCCGGGCGGGAGCCGAGCCCAGCACCAGGAGGACAGGAATTGCGGGGGTAGGGGGGACGCCTTGGGGCGTAGCTGTGCTCCTGAGATGGACGAGACCAAGGAGACCCAAGTTTGGGGGGAGATGGTGGAGGTATTTGAGAGGACTGCGGGTTAAACCAGAGGAGATGCCCATCGGACACCCTGAGGATGACAGGGATGTGGGAGTTGTACGTGTGTTTCTCATAGCGCAATCCCTGAGACTGAGTAAGTGAGAATAAGAAGAGGGGGCCCAGGTCACTGTTAAGAGAAAGCAGAGAAGGAGGCTTGGGGAGGAGTGTGTCGGGCCTGGAGTAGGAGAGGAGGATTTGGAGAGAAGAAAGTGGTCAGCCGTGTCATGGGCGACCAACAGGTTTGATCAGATGGTGGGGGACCAAGTATAGTGGGCTTGCCAATATTTATAAACTCAGGCAGATGGATGCCCACCACAGGCATTTGAGACTAAGCTGGTGAGAAGATGGAGATGGGGCAAGAAGGGGCCCTGGCTGGACAAGGTTTTGCTTAGGTGTTTTGAAGTGAGAGAGGCAGGTTTGTGACAGGGCCAGAAGCAAGGAGGGACGAGGAGAGGACCAGGAGAGTTAGGGAATCCAGGCGAGGCGGCTGAGGGAGTATTCAGACCCACACAGTGGGGTCATCAGGACGCCAGGGCTCAGTGCAAACCCAGCGTCAGTTCTGTCCTCAAGGAGAGTCTTGGGCCCCAGTGGTTACTAGCAAGGTCTCCAGGTAGGCCAAAGCTACCCGGGGGCTCCAAGGAGTGAAGCCAGCAGAGACACCAAGAGCTACCAGGCCTCGCATTGCACCCAGGCCAAGCAGAGAAGGGAGCCAATGCCTAGGAGGTGGGAAGAGGCCCCGAGACAGCCCTGTCCTCTCCAGGAAGCTCCAAGGTGGCCCCTGCCTGTAAAGAAGCTGAGCTTGCCCCCCACCAAACCACGGCTTTCCCAGGAACAGGCTGCTGTGCTGAGGACAGTCCTGAAAGGCCAGAGCATTTTCTTCACAGGGAGTGCAGGTAGTTGGGGGCATATGTGGTGGGGTGGGAACAGTGGTGGTGTGGGATAGAGAAACAAGTGGCCCTGACTTTGCCCTCTGCTCAGGGACAGGGAAGTCTTATCTGTTGAAGCGTATCCTGGGCTCGCTGCCTCCCACAGGCACTGTGGCCACGGCCAGCACTGGGGTGGCAGCCTGCCACATTGGGGGTACTACCCTCCATGCCTTTGCAGGTGAGTGGAAACCTCTGGGCCTTGAGCTGGGAGCAACACAGGACTGTGGGAAGGGAGGGAGGGAGGGGAGATCAGGGTTGAGACAAGGCTAGGGGCTCAGCCCAGGCTGAATAGTGTCACTCACAGGCATTGGCTCAGGCCGGGCTCCCCTGGCCCAGTGTGTGGCTCTGGCCCAGCGGCCAGGTGTGCGGCAGGGCTGGCTGAACTGCCAGCGGCTGGTCATTGACGAGATCTCCATGGTGGAGGCGGACCTGTTTGACAAGCTGGAGGCTGTGGCCAGGTCAGTGTGTGTAGTGAAGGCTGGTTCTGATGGTTTTCCACGTGGAACCTGCCCACTCTAGCCCCTAAAGCACCCATGCTCCTCTGCAGAGCTGTCCGGCAGCAGAACAAGCCATTCGGAGGGATCCAGCTCATCATCTGTGGGGACTTCCTTCAGCTGCCACCTGTAACCAAGGGCTCCCAGCCCCCACAGTTCTGCTTCCAGGTATCACTCACCGTCTGGCCCTGTCACCCAAGAGATGTCTACTCTTTCCTTGACACCCCCACCCTGTCTCCACCAGGCCAAGAGCTGGAGGAGGTGTGTCCCAGTGACCCTGGAGCTGACTGAAGTGTGGAGACAGGCAGACCAGACCTTCATCTCTCTGCTGCAGGCTATCAGGCTGGGCAGGTGAGCCTGGTGAACAGAGAAGGGGCCATAAGATAAGGATCCAATCCAAGTGTGTGTCAGAGAGGAGTACAGGGACCCAGAGAAAGGGGAGAAAAGCTTCATGGCCCCATAGAAAATGGCCACTTTGCAAGTGCTAGGATGCCACCTTCCCTAGGGTTGGGTCCCCATCACACAGAACAGAGCCTAGCAGCACAGAGTAGGTGTCAGGGAAATATGGGTAGATGGACGCACAAGAGCAATTTAGAGATGTTAATACTCCCATTTCACAGATGCAGAAACAGGGGTTCAAAGAGGTAAAGTGTCTTGCCCAAAGTCATGGCTAATAAGGGACAGAGCTGGGATTTGAACCCAGGTGTGACTCTAAAGTCCAAGTTCCTTCCACCCTTAGAGCCTGTGAGGTCACTTGGTAAGGTGGCAGGAAAGGTTATAGACATGATCCCACCCCAACTAGGACAAAAGGTTGAAATGCTATGACTATTTTAATGCGAGAGTGGACAGAAGGCCAGGAGGGCAGAAGACACAGGCCTTGAAAGCCAGGTCAGACTGGGCTGGGACTGGGGCAGGTGGATGTGATGGTGAGGGGCTTTCTATGCTTGGACCGCTGGTGCAGACACAGCAGGCGGGGGAGCAGGTGTGCAGCACACTCCAGCCTGTGTTGGGGGACAAGAGGAAGGCTGAGAGGCAGAACAGGAAGAGATGGGCCCGAGCTGTTTCCCGCCTCTCGTGTGAGTTGCTGCCGCACCCAGTCTTCCCCATGCGAAGGAAGGCTTGAGAAGGGGGCAAACAGAACCAGAGGCTTGAATTTTTTCCCCCAAGGCAGAGGGCAAGGGGCTAGAAGATTACAGGCTGGAGGCTTATCTGATTATAGGCCACCAGTATTACACAGAATTACAATGGGCACCTTTCCCTCCACCCTCAACCATGTTTATTTCCCATGTCTGGGGTCCAAGTTGGGGAGGGACAAGTCGGGCAGCCGGGGACCAGCAAACCTTGCCCTGGAGCCCTTTTTCAGTTCCCAGGCCTGACCCATGGCCTGCTGCTTAGCCCATACTGCCCACATATGTCTTCCCTGATGCTCAGATAGGCTCTGCCCTGACAGCCTCGCCCCCACAGGTGCTCAGATGAGGTGACCCGCCAGCTCCGGGCCACTGCCACCCACAAGGTGGGGCGAGATGGGATTGTAGCTACAAGGCTCTGCACCCACCAGGATGACGTGGCCCTTACCAACGAGAGGCGGCTGCAGGAGCTGCCAGGTGAGCAGGGAGCCAGGGCTGGGCAAGACCAGCTGGAAGGGACCACCAGGCAGGTGTGACCTCCCGGCAGACCAGGCCCTTAGGGTCATTGGGATATCTAGGTCTGCAACCTCTGTGGCCATAAAGGCCCTTACACTTGCAGACATAACTCACTTTGGAGGTGTAACTTTGAGTGGATCAAGGTCACTCTGCCTGTAAATGCTGGAAGCAACCCTTGAACCCAGACTTCTGATTTAAAGCTCCAGCTAGGCCTGAGCTGTCCCCACTACCTGCCTCCATGCCCTGGTCTAATAGATGTTTTCAACTGAGTCACAAGTCAATGACTTGTAATCACTCGGTTTGCCCAACTGTCTTTTCTCCAGGTGAGGTACACAACTTTGAGGCTATGGACAGTGACCCTGGTCAAGCCCGGACCCTGGATGCTCAGTGTCCTGTTAGCCGGCTCCTTTGTCTAAAGCTGGGGGCCCAGGTAAGTGGGAAGCAGGGCTGAGACACTGGGAGATTGGCTCTCTGCCCCGGCTACTCCACAGCCAGAGGGCTCAGCTGTGACCACAGAAATCTCCCTTCCTCCAGTTCCTTCATACCTTCCTGTCTCAGCCTTCCAATACTCTCCTCTTCCTATGCCTGCAGTGCCCAAAAGTGCTGTCCCGTTTCCTTGCTGAAGCTGTTTCCTCATGGAGTGGTGTGCCCTGGAATATGAGGGAACCCTGCTTCTTTAAATGATGGTGGTGGTGGGCCAAACAGGAGGCTTTCCTCAGGTTCCAAAGGGCACCTGAGGGGGAAACGCAGGCAATGTGTGGTTGGAAGAGGGTTGGCAGGACCTCGGAGCTCCATCTTTCAAGACTGTGGCCTCCACACGTGCTCGGTAACAGACGTGATAATTTTCAAAGCCCTGTGCTCTCTGTTACCTTATTGCTCTTTACCCCCTCCATCCAAGGCAAACCGAGCAAACGTCATTCCCCTTTGACACTAGGGGAAACTGAGATGGGAAAAATAAAGCAGCTTGCCGCAGGGGTCACAGCTGGTGGCAGAATTAACGACTAGGACTCAGTGCCCCTCCGTGGTAGCCCCCGGCCTCCAGAACTGCTGCAGTGAGTGCTGGAGCCGACGCCAGGCATGGGAACGGGCTCCTCTCCATGCCTCTGGTTCTTTCCTTCGCAGGTGATGTTGGTGAAGAACTTATCAGTGTCCCGCGGCCTGGTGAACGGCGCCAGAGGGATAGTAGTCGGGTTCGAGACCGAGGGGAGAGGTAAGCGATAGGAGAACAGCCCTACTGTTTGGATTTGCAGCAGGGCCCTGGGGTCACTGGGAAGAGAAGGCTAGGATGGAAAGGCCTGCCCCTCACCACCGAGCAAGGCAGCAAGGCTGAAAATTGGACTTCCCCACCCTGCCCGCAGGGCTGCCCCAGGTGCGGTTCCTGTGTGGAGTCACCGAGGTCATTCGTGCTGACCGCTGGACAGTGCAGGCCACTGGGGGCCAGCTCCTCAGCCGGCGGCAGCTGCCCCTCCAGCTGGCCTGGGCAATATCAATCCATAAGAGCCAGGTGAGCAGCCAGTGGGGATGGTGGGGACAGGGCAGAGGGGGATGGGATAGGCCCAGGCATGTTGTTGAAGGGGGGTATCATAAAGGCTTTTTGGGGATTGAGCTTGCCCAGAATGGAAAGTTCTAGAATCAGTTGTAGAATAAACCTTTCATTAGTGCACCTCCTATTCTACCTCCTCCCTTTTCTGGACACTCTGTCATCTCCTGCTCTGCCATTTTCTGAGCCACTATCAGACATGTTAAATGTGATCCTTTACAACAACCGTATGAGGAATAGATGTTATAATCATTCCTGTTTTCCAGAAGAAACCAAGGCTCAGAGAGGTTAAATATTTTGTCCAAGGTCACACAGCAAATGAGGGACAGAGCCTGGATTCATATCCACACCTGTCTGATGTAGGCCTGAGTGCTTTCCTTTTATCCCAGCCCCCTACTCATCCTGGAGCTGTGTCTCCTGGACCCTGACTCTCTGCCCAGACACTCATCTGGACAGGCTGTGAGCCTGTCCCTCTGCCTCAAGAATTTCTGGACTGGGTGAGGAGATCCAGAGGTAGTAGCTGGGCTGGTGAAGTTAGGGCCAAGGGACTTCAGGCTGAGCTGGCTCCAGCACTGTCTCTCCATCCTGCAGGGCATGTCCCTGGATTGCGTGGAGATTTCTCTGGGCCGTGTGTTTGCCAGCGGCCAGGCCTATGTGGCCCTTTCCCGGGCCCGCAGTCTGCATGGCCTGCGTGTGCTGGACTTTGACCCCATGGTGGTTCGCTGTGATCCCCAAGTGCTGAACTTTTATGCCACCCTGCAGCAGGGCAGGGGCCTCAGCCTGGTAAGAGGGAGTCACCCAGTGGTGGGCCATGTGGCTGTGGGTAGACTAGGAGCTAAGACAGAGGGAAGGCCAAGGGACCCTGAGGTGGGGGGTGGCAGAGCCTTCTCTGGCTCCTCTGGGGGCAGGGACAAGAGGACGGAGATGCTGGCCCCAGGCTGCGGCCCAGGGGACAGGGCAAACCCATGACTGGGCTTCTCTGGCTCTGATCCAGGGGTCCCCAGATGATAATGAGGCAGCTTCAGACCAGGAGAACATGGATCCGGGCCTTTAAGCTGCAAAGAGAAGACAGAGGTGGTCTCCTCATCCTGCTTCCCTGTGGGGCCAGGACCCCCAGGGCTAAGTGGGGGACAGCAGCCAGTGTCACGTTCTCCCTTCATTAAAGGTTCTCAGCCTCTGGGCAGGGCTCAAGGGAGGGTGCTTCCTGTCATCTGCCAGCTGTGCCTAGTTTTTCCCCTTGCCCTGGGTGAGCTGTGTCCAGGGTCAACAGTGACCCTTCCTGTACCAGTTGGAATGGGACTTGTGGTGGTATCTGGTGTTAGAGGACAAAGCTCCCTGTGAGGGCTGGCCACAGGCCCACACAGACATGAAGGCCACTCCCTTAGGGCCATGGAGGAGAGAGGCAGAGAAGACAGGTAGTCTTGGGTGGGGGACTCAGCCCATCACAGGCCCAAAGAAAGGAGGGAACTTAGGAGTCTCCTCACAGCTAGGCCAGGCCTCATACCAGCCAGGATAAACGTCCTGAGCCTAGCCTGAGAACACTACAGACTGTGCCTGTTTCTTAAGCTGCTTTTTCAGGGAGGACATAGTCGGGGGTAGGGGGGTATCGGAATGGATATTATCCGATTGTATTTATTCAGGACAAATAAACTTGGGAATTGTGTGAGGGCTGTGAGCTGAATCTTCTGCTCTCTTTATGAAGGCACCCTCTGCCTGGGGCTCTGGCTGCACCCCCCCAGGAGGCTGCTTCTGCCTGTCCCCCAGCCCCTTAACGTGCACACCGCGGTGTGTTGTTTATGCCACGATGGCCGAGCTCGCCACAGTCTTATGTAAGGTTTGGTTAATATCACTGTTTATTTGGAAAACTGAGTACCTGAGGTTGGTGACTCACAATGAAATGATGGTGAATTGCCATCACCAGCAGTCAGACAAGGACATGCTGAGAATTGATATGGTAAAAAAGTGGGCCTGAATGCTGGGGAACTTGGTTGGAACTTTCTCACTTTCTGTCTTGCTGGGGCTCCAGCTTGGATGTTCTGATGGCGAAGGGACCATCAACAAACTAACTTCAGTTCATCAAAAAGCCTATGGAGATTGCTCAGGGGGTCATCATAGGCTGTCTAAAATTGTTAAGGTTCCCTACTTAGTAGTAAAAAGGTATCAGTTGGGGCTGGTAGAAACAGGTTGTAATGGAAGTGTGCACTGGCAGCTAGAGAGAGCAACAACTGCTTAAATGTACAACTGCCAATGGTGGAAGGAGTGGAAAAGGGTGGAGCCATGCTGGGGGACATGAAATCTGGGTCCTTGAAGGCATTTATCCTTGTCTTCCAAAAGCCAGCCCCAGTTCCAGTGTACAGCGAGCGTCTGGTTAAATGGCAGAGACCAGTGATACGGGGGATCAGTGCTGTGGGGGTCAGACAGGCTAAGGGCCCTCAGACCTTCAGTGTGGGCTGTGCAGGCTGACAGCCTGGGGCAAGTTTGACTGATGATTAATAGTTCAGGGGACAGACCTGGCTTTCCATCCTGATTTTGCCACTTGCCAATTGTGTGACAACAACCACTTGGAGAGGTTTCCTCGCCTATGAAGTGGAGGTGGTAGCTGTGACTTTCACAGAAGGTTGTTAGGAGAAAGGCCAGACATGTGGCAGGAACTCAATCAGCAGCTGGTATTAACGTTTATGATGACTAATGATTCCACCATGTCTATAGACCACAGTCCTCTCTGGTTCCTTCACTGGCTCCTTTGACAAACAAGATGTGGAGGCTCAGGGGGGTCAGCCTGGCCCCCGGATGACCCCTGCCTCCCTTACTCTTACCACCACCCTTGCAGACCTTCAGGAATTGATTTTCTGTGACATGAAGCCTATTCTCTGCCCCAAATAGAAGACACTCTCATGAGAAGCCAAGCCCACCAGGGTGACACCCCCCCCCCACAATGGGCTACCATGGAGGCCTTTAAATGTGGTGTCATTTGAGGGTCAGGGTGCTCCCAGTCTGCCCGCATGACACAGCTCTCCTCCCAAGCCCAGCTGTGAGGTCACGCCGGGGCCCTGCCGTGACACAGCTTACAACCTGGCTGTACCTTGCTTTTGTCACTCCTTCCCCTTAATACACAGTTTGGGGACTGTCCAGTTCAGCCCAAATAGCATTGTCATGTGTTTTCTAGCAGCTCTGTACTTTCTACTCATCCTGCTCCCCTGTGGGATCAGGACCCCCAGGGCTAAGTGGGGGACAGCAGCCAGGGTCCCTTTCTCCCTTCATTAAAGGCTCTCAGCCTCCGGGCAGGGCTCAAGGAAGGGTGCTTCCTGTCCATCTGCCAGCTGTGCCTAGTTTCTCCCCTTGCCCTGGGTGAGCTGTGTCCAGGGTCAGCAGTGACCCTTCCAGTGCCAGTTGGAATGGGACCTGTGGTGGCACCTGGTCCTTGGGGTTCTTGGGTAGAAATGGGAGACCCTGACTCAGGATGACAAGGAAGGGAGGGTAACAGAGGCTTAGCTTGGAGAACTGATGTGAGGCCCAGAGACCCGGATGTGGGGACAAGTGGGAGCCAGGGGGCTAGAGCCCCTGGCAGGAGCACAGCCGGGAGTGGCCACCCCTGGACACCAAGCCCGGCCCCAGGGGAAGCAGTTCTGCAGTCTTCTGCCCCCACAGGCAGGTTGTGGGGCTGAGTACGCCATCAAGGTGCGCGAAGGACTGGGGCTTGTGTGGGCAGGGAATCTCCTGCCATTGCCCGCAGCTGGGCTGTCGAGGACTGAGGGCCCTGGTGACACGGTCATTTCGTCAGCATCCTCTCCTGGGACTGTCCTCTGACTTCACCCTCTACCACCATGGAGCCCCTTTCCCTCCTCCAAGGACTGATTTCAGCTTTCCATGGTCTCCTATGGGTTTGTCCTGCTTAAAAATGTCTTCCTCAAGGGACTGCCTGGGCACCAGGAAGTCCTGTCCTTAGCAATCCCTTCTCATTGTGAAGATGCCCCCTGGGAAGCCCCTGGGGGAAGGCAAACATGTTCCCTGCGAGGGGGAGTGCAGACCCTCGGCTCCTCAGGCCGGACCATGACATTGTCCTATGCGGGAGACGTGCAAGGAACCTCACCATTCTTTACTTCCTTTATTGAAATACAGTTGACATACAATATTATATTAGTTTCAGATGTGATTTGACAGTTATATACATTACTAGTTCTTTGTTTTCTTGACATCTAGTTTAATCTAACACTAAACCTGTTTCCCTGGGGCTGTAAGGAAACCCCATCTCAGTCAGAACTGGGAGAACTGGGGACAAGTGAGAGCCACTGGCAGGAGCACAGCCGGGAGTGGCCACCCCTTCTTTAAAGCAAAAGAAGATGGGGATTGGGGAGGTTCTGGCATTATTTTGCCCACCCCACAGGGTCAATGGTCATACTCAGATCCCCAGCCCCACAGTAGCTCTGACCTCCCGGTTCCCAAGCACCACACACCGTGGACCACTAGGTGGCGCCAAGTGGCTGTTCAGTCCCTTCCCAGCGACCTGGCTGGTCCTTTGTCTCAGACTGCGCCTGCAGGGGACTTGCACACCGCGGTGTGTTGTTTATGCCACGATGGCCGAGCTCGCCACAGTCTTATGTAAGGTTTGGTTAATATCACTGTTTATTTGGAAAACTGAGTACCTGAGGTTGGTGACTCACAATGAAATGATGGTGAATTGCCATCACCAGCAGTCAGACAAGGACATGCTGAGAATTGATATAGTAAAAAAGTGGGCCTGAATGCTGGGGAACTTGGTTGGAACTTTCTCACTTTCTGTCTTGCTGGGGCTCCAGCTTGGATGTTCTGATGGCGAAGGGACCATCAACAAACTAACTTCAGTTCATCAAAAAGCCTATGGAGATTGCTCAGGGGGTCATCATAGGCTGTCTAAAATTGTTAAGGTTCCCTACTTAGTAGTAAAAAGGTATCAGTTGGGGCTGGTAGAAACAGGTTGTAATGGAAGTGTGCACTGGCAGCTAGAGAGAGCAACAACTGCTTAAATGTACAACTGCCAATGGTGGAAGGAGTGGAAAAGGGTGGAGCCATGCTGGGGGACATGAAATCTGGGTCCTTGAAGGCATTTATCCTTGTCTTCCAAAAGCCAGCCCCAGTTCCAGTGTACAGCGAGCGTCTGGTTAAATGGCAGAGACCAGTGATACGGGGGATCAGTGCTGTGGGGGTCAGACAGGCTAAGGGCCCTCAGACCTTCAGTGTGGGCTGTGCAGGCTGACAGCCTGGTGCAAGTTTGACTGATGATTAATAGTTCAGGGGACAGACCTGGCTTTCCATCCTGATTTTGCCACTTGCCAATTGTGTGACAACAACCACTTGGAGAGGTTTCCTCGCCTATGAAGTGGAGGTGGTAGCTGTGACTTTCACAGAAGGTTGTTAGGAGAAAGGCCAGACATGTGGCAGGAACTCAATCAGCAGCTGGTATTAACGTTTATGATGACTAATGATTCCACCATGTCTATAGACCACAGTCCTCTCTGGTTCCTTCACTGGCTCCTTTGACAAACAAGATGTGGAGGCTCAGGGGGGTCAGCCTGGCCCCCGGATGACCCCTGCCTCCCTTACTCTTACCACCACCCTTGCAGACCTTCAGGAATTGATTTTCTGTGACATGAAGCCTATTCTCTGCCCCAAATAGAAGACACTCTCATGAGAAGCCAAGCCCACCAGGGTGACACCCCCCCCCCGCAATGGGCTACCATGGAGGCCTTTAAATGTGGTGTCATTTGAGGGTCAGGGTGCTCCCAGTCTGCCCGCATGACACAGCTGTCCTCCCAAGCCCAGCTGTGAGGTCACGCCGGGGCCCTGCCGTGACACAGCTTACAACCTGGCTGTACCTTGCTTTTGTCACTCCTTCCCCTTAATACACAGTTTGGGGACTGTCCAGTTCAGCCCAAATAGCATTGTCATGTGTTTTCTAGCAGCTCTGTACTTTCTACTCATCCTGCTCCCCTGTGGGATCAGGACCCCCAGGGCTAAGTGGGGGACAGCAGCCAGGGTCCCTTTCTCCCTTCATTAAAGGCTCTCAGCCTCCGGGCAGGGCTCAAGGGAGGGTGCTTCCTGTCCATCTGCCAGCTGTGCCTAGTTTCTCCCCTTGCCCTGGGTGAGCTGTGTCCAGGGTCAGCAGTGACCCTTCCAGTGCCAGTTGGAATGGGACCTGTGGTGGCACCTGGTCCTTGGGGTTCTTGGGTAGAAACGGGAGACCCTGACTCAGGATGACAAGGAAGGGAGGGTAACAGAGGCTTAGCTTGGAGAACTGATGTGAGGCCCAGAGACCCGGATGTGGGGACAAGTGGGAGCCAGGGGGCTAGAGCCCCTGGCAGGAGCACAGCCGGGAGTGGCCACCCCTGGACACCAAGCCCGGCCCCAGGGGAAGCAGTTCTGCAGTCTTCTGCCCCCACAGGCAGGTTGTGGGGCTGAGTACGCCATCAAGGTGCGCGAAGGACTGGGGCTTGTGTGGGCAGGGAATCTCCTGCCATTGCCCGCAGCTGGGCTGTCGAGGACTGAGGGCCCTGGTGACACGGTCATTTCGTCAGCATCCTCTCCTGGGACTGTCCTCTGACTTCACCCTCTACCACCATGGAGCCCCTTTCCCTCCTCCAAGGACTGATTTCAGCTTTCCATGGTCTCCTATGGGTTTGTCCTGCTTAAAAATGTCTTCCTCAAGGGACTGCCTGGGCACCAGGAAGTCCTGTCCTTAGCAATCCCTTCTCATTGTGAAGATGCCCCCTGGGAAGCCCCTGGGGGAAGGCAAACATGTTCCCTGCGAGGGGGAGTGCAGACCCTCGGCTCCTCAGGCCGGACCATGACATTGTCCTATGCGGGAGACGTGCAAGGAACCTCACCATTCTTTACTTCCTTTATTGAAATACAGTTGACATACAATATTATATTAGTTTCAGATGTGATTTGACAGTTATATACATTACTAGTTCTTTGTTTTCTTGACATCTAGTTTAATCTAACACTAAACCTGTTTCCCTGGGGCTGTAAGGAAACCCCATCTCAGTCAGAACTGGGAGAACTGGGGACAAGTGAGAGCCACTGGCAGGAGCACAGCCGGGAGTGGCCACCCCTTCTTTAAAGCAAAAGAAGATGGGGATTGGGGAGGTTCTGGCATTATTTTGCCCACCCCACAGGGTCAATGGTCATACTCAGATCCCCAGCCCCACAGTAGCTCTGACCTCCCGGTTCCCAAGCACCACACACCGTGGACCACTAGGTGGCGCCAAGTGGCTGTTCAGTCCCTTCCCAGCGACCTGGCTGGTCCTTTGTCTCAGACTGCGCCTGCAGGGGACGCAGGGACACCTCAGGAGCTGGGCGCCCAGTAAGCATAAGGAAGGGGGAGGGTCCTCTGTTGAGAAACTTGCACCGGGTATCTGCTGAGTGTTTCATGGTTTGCGTTCATTTGCCCTCATTTGTTTTCCACAATAACCCTGAGCAGACAGTGGAACATCATCCTCACCTTACAGGGAGAGAATATTAATCTCTTGAGAGGTTAGGTGACTGGGCCAAAGCCACACTGTAAGCTGGGTCTGCAGCCTGTCCCAGCTACAGGGTCTTGGGGCTTTTGCAAAGTTAGTAGGGGACCCTGAAGCCAGTGGCTCTTTGCTTCCTGTGTGACCTTGGACAAGCTGCCTAAATCCTCAACCTTAGTTTCACCATTAGCAAAATCAGGCTAACAGCTGAGCAACAACAGTGTTAGGACAAGTAAAGAGCTGGGGTGGAGCCAGGCATGTGGTGAACCCTCCCCGCTGGCACCGAGTAGCCTTTATTATGCTTGCTTGACACCCAGAGAACAACAAAGAGGATTAGCAAGACCCCGGAGGAAGTGAACGCTCTCTTTCAGAGTCTTCCCTCCCAGAGGACCCAGGCAGTGCCCACCCACTAAGGGGAAGGAGAAAATGAAGTCTTATCCCCTCTCCTACCCCTAACAAACAAGCTCCCAGCCCTGGTCAGTGAGCACATTTGTCAGGACTGCCCCTCAGCTTTCCTCCCTCCATCCTCTGTATCAGAGCATCTTCGACAACTCTTCGAGGGGGATCTTTAGATTTCGTTTACAGAGGAGGAGACTGAGGCTCGCAGAAGGTGGGCGGCTCCAGGTCACACGGCTGTAAATGGCAGAGCCAGGAAGGGCACCCAGGTATCTGAGGCCTCACCTCCGTGTTCAGGGCCTTGGAGAAAAGCAGCAAGCATGGGGTACCTCCTTGCTCCTAGCTTTGTCCCAGAAACCCACACTCAAGATTCCATTTCTTTATGATTCCAAGAGCATCACCTGCTGAGACAATAACAGCGGGGAGGGCCAAGATGGAAGAGTGGGGCTTGGAAGGAGACCCTGAATAGGGAAGTCAACCCCAGGTGCCAGACAAGCCCTGCAGGGAGGGGACTGACATGAAGCCCGCTTCTCACTTGTTCAACTCTTACCCCTTGGTTCCAGGTTCCTCCTTTTGTCTTGTAACCTCCTGGCAAGGCCTGTCCCCTTGCTTCTCTCCCCAGCCGGGACTGGATTCAGTAAGCAGAGACCCAGCTCACCTGGCCCGTGAAGAGTGAGAAGGGCAGACAGTTACAAGTGGGGGCTGGGAGGGCAGGCAGGGGGGGCGCTGGGGGCAGAGGAAAAGGCCGGGGAACTGCTGATGGGAGCAGGTGTCAGGGGGAGACCCCAAGACACCCCCACCCTGCAGGCACCCCCTCATCCCCAACACAGGGGCCCTATCTTCTGCATTTCTTGCCTCTCTGAACTCCTCCCTGCCCCCTGGGAGGACCATGGCATCTGGGCTCAGATGCTACGTGGTGGGTAGCACAGATCAGGTCCCTGACTGGGTCTCAGTTTCCTCATCTGCAAAATGGGGGTAGGGTGGGCCTAGGCCCCGTGTGGTGACCACATGCAACCTGGGACTGTGCTTGGGAAACTGTGAAGGGCTATGCACTCCCCTGGGGAGGCCATTCTCCTCTCAGCTCCACTCCTTTCTCTCCACCACCAGGGTGGCCTCCTCCCTCTCCCCCTGGGCCCTGGCACAGCACTCCATGCCTATTTAAGGCAAATCTCCTGATCTTCTTTTAAATAACATTCGCTCCTTGTTGTGAAGACCAGCAGGGCTTGAGCTTAGGGATAGGGGAGGGGAGCCCCAAAGAACCCAACAGGGAGTGGGGGGAAGGGGAGACATGGGGGTGAAGCCAGTATGGGAAGGTCCCTGCCCCCCTCCCACCCCCACCCCACAGCCTCCCATTTAGTCCCCTTACTGCACAGGCTCTGGATTGCCTCAAACCCCTTTAGAGGGGCTGGGGCACTCTGAGTGCTTCATGCAGCCCCTTGTGGGCACTGAGGGGGAGGAGGGGGAGGAATAACAACCCAGGGCCTGGGAGATGTATGCCAAGGCCACCAGCAAAGGGTGTGGGAAGGGCTGGGGCAGGACTGACATCCATCGCACAGCCTGGCCAGGGTGAAGGATGAAACAAAACTGCTGTTTGGTTCTAGAAATCTGAGATGTTCAGAGAGGCCAAGACATCTGCCCTGAGTCACACAGCTAGTGCATGTAAGGGGTCTGAAATCCAGGCCTGGCCTGGCTCCAAATTTAATGTTTCTTCCCTCTCTATGCCAGGTCTTCTTGCACCTGGGGTTGTGACACCTGACAGTGACTAAGCATCACTCAAAACCCCCTGCACACACCCTTCCTCTGCCAGAACAGCTGCCAGGAGGGGCCCTAACTCCCCTTCTCCCCCATCCTCTTTTCTCTAGGCCTACCACATACCTCTCCTTCCCCTTTTCTAGGTTCCTGGCTAAGGTCCACCCCTTCTGGCCTGGCCCCCAGAATAGGCTGCCTCGACTTGGTTCATGCAATCAGAAAATTACAGCCCGTAGGTGGCATGTCCCACACCCTGAAGGAGCCAGGCAGGGGGCACACTCCCCTTGCAGGCCTTTCCCAGCAGCTGAATTCTTCCCCTAGAGGCTGGAAGCGCCCCCCCCCCCGCCTCCCACTTCCTTCTCTGCCCTCTTCCCAGTCTTTTCCTCAGCGGCCGGCCGCCTCCCCAGCCTCCCATCCCAGCAAGGCTAATCCCCCTGTGGTCCTCACATGACTGAGACACCCTCCCAGGGTTCAGAAGGAGAGGGTCAGGGATCCTTTACAGATCATGTTGCCTCCTCGGGACCAGGCACTCATTCCTCAGGCATGTGAGCCCAGGCGGGTCAGTGTCAGGGTGAAAGGCTGGACCGGGGGTGGGGTACAAGAGTGAGGAAGATGCCCTAGCCTGGTCTTTCTCTGGGCATTTTGAGCAGAAAGGGCCCTGGTGGTCAGCTGGTCCAATGGCCTCATTTCACAGATGAGCAAACTGCAGCCCAGGGAATGGAAGGAGGGGCCGCGGGGCCCTACAGTGAGACAGAAGCTGAGCTGGGTTTTACTGGGATCCCTGGTAACCTCAGGTGGGGGCTTGATTCCTAAAAGAAGGCGGTCTATTATAGGAGGAAACTTGGCTCCATGATTAATGGTGTCCTTGAACTTCTCAGGGTCTTTCTAGCTTGGTTCTACCATTAACTTCTTGTGTGCTCTTAGGCAAGCCCCTGTCTTTGGGCCTCAGTTTCCCTGTGTAAAACTGGTGGGTTGGATAGATGACCTTTGAGATTCCTTCCTCCTCAGACCCCCTGCACCTTCCATCAGCCCAGCCTCATCCCCCCGACCCCCACTCCATTTCCAGGCTTTTGCCCTGGCTCAGTCCTGCCTCACAGCCCATCACCATTGCTCCGACAGCCTCTGTGCTGACTCTGGCCTCCACTCTCTTCCTCTCCACACCACACATTGCCCAGGTAGCCTCCTGAGGCTTAGGAATCTCCCTTGCCACCCCCCCCCCATGGCTACCCTCAGAATGACCCACCTCCTCACCTGGCATTTAGCACATCCTGCCTGCAGTCTTGAACCCTGGACTCAGTTTCCTCATCTGCCAAGTGACACTAAGCTCCTTTCTGGGAGGGCTGTGCTGTGGACATACAGTGGGGCACACAGGAGGAGTCTGGGAAAGGCTGGATGGCCTGACCAGCATTCTCAGCTTCTCTGTTGGAAAGGCTGCCTATCCAACCCCCAGTTGCCTTCATTCAAATTGGTGAGGTCCCCCAAAGCCGGTTCAAGTCCCACCTCCGTAGAGAGGGCAGGCCCCTGCAGCAACCCCATCAGAGGTGACCTCCCCATGTGGAGCTCCCCCAGGGCTGGACTCCACTTGCCTGCTTCATCTGCAGTTCCTGCCACTCTGTGGGGCTCCTAGAGAAGCAGCTGGCAGGACACTGACTGAGCGCATGACTGGGTCTGTGGGCTGCTGCCCACTCCCCTTCCTTCCCTGGGGCTGTGTTTTTGACATGGATTATCTCTGACCCTCAGAAACATCCTCAGGGCAGACTCTCAGCTGGAGAGGTCTTACACCCTGTCTTGCCCTGTTCCGGTGACTAACCAAATGGACTCTCAGAAATCTTCTCCAAAGGCCTAGGAAGGAAGAGCTGGCAGGAAATATAAGTTATCAGAACAGACAGCTAAGGGCAGAGAAGCCAGATCCTAGAGGTTTGGAGACTTCCCCCTTAGGGGCTTGAACACTCTCGGCCACTTACAAGTTGCAGGACCCTGGGGGTAACCTAATGGCTCTGAGCCTCAGTTTTCTCATCAGTTAAATGGGAACAATAATAACCTATCTCATCCTATGACAAGAGAATTAAACAGTGCATGCAAAGTGCTTAGCTCATGGCCTGGCACTTCATAAATGCTTTTAAAAAGATAGCTATTATCCTCATTAAAGACAGATGGATCAAGGCCCGCAGCTCGGCGGGGAGGGTGGCTGTCTGAAAGCTGGGAGGACCTGAGGCACAGCTTGCTCAGGTAGGCAGGTGGTTAGTAGCTGGAACAAAAACACGAAGTCCCAAGCCTGGTGCTAAGCAGTCTACATATGTTATTTCAGTTAAACCTCAGTCTCTTCCTCTTTCAAAAGTAGGGGTTGAGAAGAGAAGCTTCCTAAGGCCTTTCCAGTGCAGTGAGCACTTGTTTTCTGTTTACAAAGTACTTTTCAGTTTATAGAGCCAAACTCTAAATTCTGTTAGTGTTCTTATAGTTATCAGTGATCACACAATAGATCTGACACAAACCAGGGGCCATGGCTCTGTCTTTCCCTGGAGCCTGGTGGCAGGCAGCTCTGAGAGGGCTGGGAGAGACCTGAAGCCCCACCAAGGGCCCAGGGAGGAGCATGGCCCTTGCAGGCGACGTCATGGAAGCTTGTCTCTGGCTCCTCCTGCCAAGCGTCCGGTTCCGTCGGTGTATGCCGGGCCCCAGAGCCTTGGGTCTGGAACTTGTCAGCCCCACCTGTCACCCTCTGCTGGCCAGGACAAGGGAGCCTTCGGTTATCACTAAGGAGAGCGTGGCCTCCGTGCAGGGGCCCTGTATCCCTTTGCTGCTGGGGACCTGAGGGCAGGGAGCTGTTAGCCTGATTGAGCTCTGTTATATGACAGTCACCTTGAAATATGCAAAGACCTCACTCAAAACCATAAATATTTATTGAACACCTACAGTGTGTCTGGCCCTGAGCTGGCTCCAGGGAATCAAACAGAAATTCCTGCTTCTACTCTAGTAAAAGAAGCTATAAAGGAAAGCAGAAGTTTGATAGGAAATGAAAGAGAGAGTGATTCGCTTTACACAGGGTTGTCAGACAAGGCCTCTTTGAACTGAGAGAGGGAAGTACAGCTGGAAAGAACATTCCAGACAGAGGAAAGGGCTCATGCAAGGAAGGCCCAGAGCTAGGAAATTGGGAGTGTTTGGAGAGCCACGAGAACAGTGTGAGGTGGGCACCCGGCAAGCCTTCCCTCAACAAATGCCAGCTGAACAAACTAACAAACCATCATAAGGATTTCTGCTTCCAACTGAGATGAAATAATAGGGACTGGACCTAAAACAACTAAAATACCAAACAAAATTTATGAAATGATGGTTCTCAAGATGCTGGAAGCCAGACAATGAAAAACAGTAACTCCTGAGAGTCAGGAAACAAATGAGGTGAGTCCCATGACTGCCTGAACCTAGTGCCTGAAGGACGTTTCCAGACCAGAGCCCAGGGAGAGGAAGGCAGGTGGAGTCTGCCCATCTCCCTGCACTGAAAAGAGGGAGCCAGCAGTCCAGGGACACGGGAAGAGAGCCAAAAAGGAGAGAGCTGCACACAGATAGGACTCTGGAGCTCTACGGAAGGTACCTGTTCAGTAATTCAGCTCAGGAAACTACCAGAAACATGGTAAGAACCACCCAAAAAAGATTAGAGACTGTGCAACACAGTGAAGACAAGTAGTGATTCTACAGCATCTTACTACGCTGATGGACAGTGACCGTAATGGGGTGTGTGTGGGGAACTTGGTGAAGGGGGGAGCCTAGTAAACATAATGTTCTTCATGTAATTGTAGATTAATGATACCAAAATTTAAAAAATAAAAAAATAAAAAAGATTAGAGAGAACAATCCGTGGAGCTCACAAGGGCCAGGACAGAAACCTCACAATTAATGGGATATTGAGTAAAGCACTGATAAGTTTTTGGCTCAAAAGTGGTAAAAATGAAACACTGCTCTGGCCCCATCTAACAAAAGCAAGATCCGAAAGGACCAAACTGTTTCCAAGTAACTTTTGCTCCCTAGAACAAAGTTCACAATTATTTATAGAAATACAGAAAAATCCAGCAACCAACAAAATAAAATTCACAATGTCTGGCAACCAGTAAAAATTTGCATGTTTACAAAGAAACAGGAAAATATGACCCATAATGAAAAGAAAAACAATCAATTGAAAGCTATTCAGAAATCACCCGGATGGTAAAGTTGGGAAACACAGACACTAGGACAGTTATTATAACTATATTCTGTATGTGAAAGAAAATAGAGACAGACCATGTTAACTAGAGATACAGAAGATGTTCTAGAACATCTAGACCTGACATTTTAAAGCTGAAAACTATACTGTCTATAAAAATACACTAAGTGGATTAATGGGATATTAAATATGGCAGAAGATTAGGGAACATATATGCAGTATAACAGAAACTATCCAAAATAAAAGAAGGGGGAAAAAACCCTAAGAATAATATAAAACATGGCATCAGTGAGCTGTGAGACATTTTCAAGTGACCTAATATATATGTATGACTGGAGTCCCAAAGGAAGAGAGCATAAAAAACATTTTTTTGAAGAAAAGAAATTACTGAAAATTTTCCAAATTTGATGAAAACTATAAATCCACAGATCTAAGATACTTAATGAATTCCAAGCACAGTAAACATAAGGAAACTACATCAAGTTCTCTGCTCCTCCTTGTCTGCGGACAGCTGCATCTTCTTGTGCAGTGCCAGCCGTGTCCCTGAGATGCAATGGTGAGATTCAGAGTAAATGGATTTGGCCATATTAGGTGCCTGGCTACTTTTAACTCCAGTAAAATGGATATTGTTGCCATCAGTGACCATTTTGTTGACCTTAACTACATGGTCTACATGTTCAGTATGATTCAACCCATGGAAAATTCAATGGCACAGTCAAGGCTGAGAACAGGTAGCCTGTCATCAATAGAAAGCCCGTGTCGTTCTTCCAGGAGTGAGATCCTGCTAACATCAATCGAATGGTGATGCAAGTGCAGAATATGTTGTGGATTCCACTACCTTGAAGAAGGCTGATGCTCGCCTGAAGAGTAGAGTCACATGGGTCATCATCTCTGCCCCTTCTGCTGATGCTCCCATGTTTGTGAAGGCATGAACCATGAGAAGTTTGACAGCTCAATCAAGACTATCAGCAATGACCACCAACTACTTAGCCTCCCTGACCAAGGTCATTCATGACAACTCTGGTATCAGGGAGGGATACATGACCATAGTCCATGCCATCACTGCCACCCAGAAGACTGTGGATGGCCCCATTGGAAAGCTGTGGTATGACAGCCACAGGGCTGCACAAAACATCATCCCTGCTTCTACTGGGAAGCCAAGACTGTGGGCAAAGTCATCTCTGAGCTGAATAGGTAGCTCACTGGCATCGTCTTCCATGTCTCCACCCACAAAGTGTTGGTTGAATCTGACCTACCATCTGGAGAAAGCTGCCAAATTCAATAACATCAAGAAAGGGTAAAGCAGGCATCAGAGGGTCCCTCAAAGGGCATCCTGGGCTACAGATGCTGTCCTGTGACTCTAGCAATGATACCCACTCTTCCACCCTCAATGACCACTTTGTCAAGCTCATTTCCTGGTATGACAATGAATTTGATTACAGAAACCTTATAGTCCACATGAATTCTAAGGAGTAAGAATCCTCTGGACCACCTACCCCAGCAAGAATATAAAAGAAAGAGAGAGGCCCTCAGCTGTTGGGGAATCCTTACCCCAACTTGTTATCTTAACACACTAAGAATTTCTCATTCTTATCTTTGACAGTTTCCACCCCAGCTCCCCTGAAGAAGGGAAGGGGTTTAGGGAGCCCTACCCTGTCATGTGCCATCAGTAAAGTATACTATAGCCAGCTAAAAAGAAGGAAATTGTACCATGTACATCATAAGTTGCTTTTAAAAAATGATAAAGAGAAAGATTTAAAAATAGCCAGAGAAAAAAAGACACATCACATACAAATAAAAAATAAGGATAGCATATTTTTTAACAGAAACAATGCAAGTTAGAAGACAGTGGAGCCATGTCTTTAAAATACAAAAAGAAAATATAACTGTCAACTTGAAATGTTCTACCCAGGAAGTATATCTTTCAAAAATGAAAGTGAGACCACATGGGTTGAAATAATAAAAATTAATGACAAAGGAAATTTGGAAGATTCACAGATACATGTTAATTAAGCAACAACTCCAAAATAACCCATAGTCCAAAGAAGAAATCAAAAAGGAAATCGAAAATACTTTGAAATAAATGAAAATGGAAACAAAACATATAAAAACTTATGTGATACAGTAAGAACAGTGCTTTGAGGGAAATTCATTGCTATAAAATGCCTTATTATAAAATAAAAAAGATCTCAAATCAATACTGTAACCTTCCAACTTAAGATACTAGAAAAGGAAGAACAAATTAAATATAAAGCAAATCTAAGGAAATAATAAAGATTAATGTGTAAAATTAAGGAAAATACAGACTAGAAATACAGAGAAAAATCAATAAACCAAAAGCTGTTTTTTGATAAGATCAACAAAATAGACAAATCTTTAGTTGGAAGGACTGAGAAAAAGAAACAGAAGACTCAAATTGCTAGAACCAGAAATGAAAAGAGGAACATTACTACTAATCTTATGGAAATAAAAAGGATTCTAAAGGAATACTAGGAACAACTGTATGTCAACAAATTAGGTAACTTAGATGAAATTGACAAATTCCTAGAAAGGAACAAATACCTGACTCAAGAAGAAAACAGATAATCTGTATAGACCTGTAACAAGTAGAGACTGAAGTAATAATAAAGAAATTACTCACAGGCTCAAATCGCTTCAGTTATTAATTCTACCAAATATTTAAAGAATAATTAATATCAATTCTTCACAAACTCTTCCAGAAAC